GGGGGGGGGGGGGGGGAATGGGTTTATAAATTGGTTTTGAGGACTCTAGGGGTTTGAAGGGGGGTGCCTAAGTCTGATTCTGTTATCGTCTTTTTTATGTTGGCTGTCAAGGGGGGGAGAGAGGGGGTTATAAATTGGTTTTAAGGACTCTAGGGGTTTGAAGGGGGGTGCCTTAGTCTGCTTCTGTTATTGTCTTTTTTATCTTCGATTCAGTGATTTCTGATGTGATCGATCCTCAGCCAAAAGTCGTGTACATTACAATTCTACAGAACACATTTCGTTTCCGGGATTTTTAATTTTATTATGTTTTTTTTTTTGTGTCGGGGCTGCCCCGGACCCTGCCTGCGGGTCATGCCTGGTGGGGCACCTGGGCGTGTATATCTGGGCCCGGATGCTCTGCAAACCAACCTATGTATGAAGCTGGTCTAAACGGGTTGGGTTTAAAGTTTAAAGTTTAATCTTGAAAGTGGTGTCGTGAAGGACATTTGTTCTGTGCTTTTGTTTTCCATTTCTGTTCAAAAACTTGGTCAGCTGCTTGTCAATGACCCCTGGCAAATGCTGTTTGGAAAATGAATACTTATTTTCTAGATCTTCTCATATCCTGAAGAGCAGTGTAATGAACCCAGTCTCGTCATCCAATCATGTCGCGGATAACAATGTCGTGCAATGTCATGAGATAATCAATCCAATAAGTCTGTCAGTTCGAAGTCATTAAAGTACATGTTTTCTCATTACCACGTGTATGTCTCGAAGTCCACAGTATCCAGAAAAGAGAGGGGGGGAGAATAGACAGTTGGAAGGAGAAGTGTAACACAGAAATTAAGGCCCTCTTCTCCTTCAGGCTCCCCACCTCTGCCACAGGGCCTGCAAGCTCCTAGGTGTGGCAAGTGCCCGTCGGGGTATCATTTTGCATATGGGGTGTAGCAGCAGGCTGTATGGTCCACATGTCCGTTGGAACAAAGACAGGCCTGGCCCCAGATGTCTGTCTTCACAACCATACTAGTGCAACATTTGGACATAAAATTATGCACAGCAAGGGAAGAATTATGCATCCTAGCGATGTGGTTCTTGATGTTTTTGTCGTTTTCTCAGTTTTCTTTTGTTTTGTTTTCATATTTGGTAGGCATCATGCATTGCGAGTTCTCCCCCCCCCCCCCCCCCCMCCCCCCTCTCCTTCAACCTTGCACTCTAAAGCATCATTCTGTTGAGACTTGCCTTCATGTGGAAGAAACGGAAGTGTTTGGTTTACAGTCCGCATGCTTGGTAGGCGTCATTTTTCGTGTGTTCAAGAAAGAAGAGGAGGTTCACGTCTTCTTCTGGCTCTGTCCTCTCTCTACCTGGGAGGAATGTGAGGGTAAAAACTTGTGCAGGGTGCATGACTCAAAAGACTGGCCTGGTTCTGTGCTTTGCATAAAAGGCATGCGAGTTCAATTGACACCTTCCCTAATGTTGCTATGGATGGATGAACCTGTGTGTGTGTGTGTGTGTGTGTGTGTGTGTGTGTGTGTGTGTGTGTGTGTGTGTGTGTGTGTGTGGGTGTGTGCGTGTGTGTGTGTGTGTGTGTGTGTGTGTGTGTGTGTGTGTGTGTGTGTGCACGCCTGCATTTCCTTGCTTCTGGCACTGTCATGAAATGCTGGTGAAGGTTTGCAATTGAGAAACAGTTCGGTGGCAGCAATGAGTGCGCCTACATGCTGACATACAGGGCGCGGGCTCCCGCAGGGAGGGCGTGTGAGGTGATGGATGATGAGCCACTTGGGAATGGCTTTGTTGGCCCAGGGCATGGGCTGCAGTATGGGCATGACATGGGAACAGCTTGCTCAAGAAAAGCAGAGAGAAGGCACAGTTTGATGGATCCAGCAACTCTGGGGCGAGCTGTTCAATTGCCATGGCATTTGCAGGCACTCGTTGATAAGGCAAATGAAGATTTGAAGTGTGAACGGGAGCTCGCTGATGCGGAGGCTCGCAAAGAGGCCGCTCGTGCAGAGGCTGAAGCAGCTGCTGCGCGGATGAGGTTGACAGTGCATTTGCCAACAACATGTATTATTGGTGGGGGCTACTTGGCCAATAAGCCCGAGGACAGCAGTGACACAGAGTGAGTTCACTTCTCTTCCCTCGTTTTCGGCAAGGACTGAGGTGGCATATTAACTGCCGGGAGGCAGTAACCGCCACTGACCTTGGTCTTTCTCATCTTTTTGCCTTTTCTACGTGATGTTACCTGTTACTGCATGACGTTGCTATGTGGTGAGGCGTCAAATTTGGATCTTCCACCTTAAATCTTTTAGCTAAAGAAGAATTGCAGAATGCAGATGATGTATCACTCTTGTTTCTGGGGCACTTTTTGCAGGCCCCCGATCCAGGATGCAAATATATGTTGGTGAATTGTATTGCCAGCTTGAGCGCATGCGGATATCTGCAATGCGTAATGTACGTATGCTCTGCTTGTCAAGGACAGGGTCATTTGTGGTTGTGATTTTACCAGATGAGAACTCACACGGTTAATGCTTCAGCCTGTTTTCTGCCAGCTTAGCATATCTGTGAAGAGGTGTTGTCTGGGCCTCTCTGGCTCTTTGCTACATTGTGAGAAGCAGTGTCCATACCCTCCCATGGGTGGTTTGGGTGAAAGTTCGATATTGTTGCCCTAAGCCTGGCTGGAAGCGAAGTAAATTCATGTGAACTGGTATTTTTTTATGTTCAGGAAGTGGAAGGTAAATGTTGTGTGTCATGCAATAGAGATTCTATGACAGGTAAGGAGTCCCTTACAATGCTAAAAAGTTTCAGAAAATTTGTAGGGTAGGTGCACAACGGTCTAAAATTGCAGGAGTGGCAGATGTGTTATCCACCAAGCAATGGACACAATGCCAAGAAGTTTCAGAAAATTTGTAGGGTAGGTGCACAATGGTCTAATTGCAGGAGTGGCAGATGTGTTTTCCACCATGCAATGGACACTGTAATGCAGGGCTTCACAGCACAGCGTTGGTGAAAACAAGCAGGGATTGTCTATTTATTGGGGAGAGAGAGAGAGAGAGAGAGAGAGAGAGAGAGAGAGAGAGAGAGAGAGAGGATCATGGAAGGGCAATCCAAGTGCGCACCTGTGGTAGACCTGTGATAGACCTACATACCTTGGTGTGATTGGCTCGTTCATGTGCAGACGTCCATCCGTTAACTTACATGAATGGCCTGATCGTTTGTGACATGGTTGTTGCAAAGCAAAGCTGCGGTGCTAAGACACGGGTGGTGGTCGGTGCCAATCCATAAGGGCCCCCAGCTCGTGCGCATTGATAGACTACAATGATCGATACTTGAAAAACTGGACTTGATAAGAGGTTAGGTAGAGTGAGGTATATGAGTGAAGAATATAGATTAGTTTTCCAAAAAAAAAAGGAATGGGCCAAAAAAAAAAGAACCAGACTGATTGTTACATGCTGAGCCTGCACACAGGCCCCATTCTGGGGCCCCTACGGTTGCTGGGGGGGCCCAGGCCACATGCCCTTCGGACATGCGCCCTGGAGGCCCACGGCTGGCCTTAGGGCCGCAGGATTCGATTTTAGGCAGGATTCGTTTATTTATTCATTTACATGCTGTCCTATTTTTGTGTGTTCCAGGCGTCGTTTTGGACTTGCAGTGCGTCCGAACAGACACACGGTCTTTTTGGGCCAAGGCCACATTTTGGGCCTTGTCCATTTGTGGCCAGGTTCGTTTTAGTCCAGTACAGGACACTCCCTGCTGCATCATCAGGGAGGGCCTGGACGTCCGGTAGGGACCTAGGCAGGTCGTTTCAGACCAAGGACCAGAGGCACACCAGCGAGGCCCAGCGCTACATATAGTTGGGCCAGGCCAGGGGAGGCACACAGTTCGAATAGCTCACTTCTTGGCCGACACGTTGCTGGAGCAGCGTGACACAGCGCTGCGCTAAGGTGTAGAGGAGTAGGTAGGAGGTGAGGCGGAGGCCGTACCTGTTGAGCCGGTACTTACCTGGGCGCCATAGCTGGACTCCACGCTAGCGATCTGCACAGAGAGACATGCCGGCGGCAGTTACCTGCAGGTGAGACAGCGAGGAGGACGACATCGTCTTCCTCTTCTTAGTCTCGCCGTCCATCTCTTCTTCCTCCTCCTCCTCCTCCTCCTCCTCCTCTCGGAGAGAGAGAGAGGTTATAGGCAGAGGTTACATTGGGCGATGAGGCCCAGGATCTGATTTGACATTTTGTGGCAGACATTGACTGGACATTCGGCAGGGAGACTATTTTTGGACTCCACTATCTCGATCTTCATCTTCTCCCTCACCTCTGTCTTCGTCTCGCCTCTCCCCCATTTCCTCGTCCGTGGTATCTCCCTATGTGCGTGCTCAAGGACCTTTCTTCCATGTATGTGGTGCCTCCCCTCTCTCTCACATGTGTGGTGTGTGATGGGGTGTTGCGTCAGTATCTGACAGCTCAGGTCAGTCTTCCGTAGCACTACATTATGCTATTTCTGTATGTATCTGGTATCGGAGCTGCGCTCAGTGAATCAGGTTGAAACCTGACCTGACTTGCGAATAGGGAATCGACCGATCAATCTAGTGATTGATTGACTGATTGATTGATTGATTGATTGATTGATCGATCGATTGATTGATTAATTAGAATAACCTAATTAATTTCTGTTCGCGATTTTATGCCTAACCGTAAATTCCGATTTTTTTTTGACTTTTTGATCTTCGGAATTCTCTCTTTGCACTAATTGTTTTTTTTTTTCCGTTAAATCACACGTCAATTAGTAGATAAATCTCGATTTTATTAATTTTTTGGAATTTGAATTTTTGCTACTTTGTTATGTCGATTTTTTTTTTTTTCCCCCCCGGTAAATCTCTCTTCGCAGTTGTGTTTTAGGGATTCTACTTCTCAAGATTGGGAATGTCTGCGCCAACTCTCATCTGGAATATTCCGAATTTTATTTTTTTCATTTGGAATTTCCTGAACTTGTGAATTTTTGTTTGCAAATCGTTTTTTTTTTTTTTTTTTCATTTTGTTATTGCATCTGCAGTCTGAAGTTCGAAATATTATTTTTTACTAGTTATTTTTTCATTTTGTTATTGCATCTGCAGTCTGAAGTTCGAAATATTATTTTTTACTAGTTATTTCAACTTTGGGACTTTGGGGACGAGGAGGCCTACCGAACTTGCGATTTCGAAATTATTATTATTTTTATTTTTTTATCTCGATTGTTTTTTAAAGCAAAGTTTGAACTTTTAAATTTTGATTAGTGGCTCCTTATCTGGGTGATCAATGTGACCCCATGGGGTTGGGGAAGTACTAGTTACCACTCTCTCCCCTCCCACCCAACCCATTTACACTGTCCATTCTCTTCTCCCCTCTTTCCCTCTATCTCCTTCTTCTTTGCTGCGGCATTGGTGAGTTGCCAAGTCACGTCAGCAGCGACACGCCAGCGGACAGCAGTGCCACGACAGCAGCCAACCAAGCGACGTTAGCAAATCAAGCGACGTCAGCAGCAGCTAGTGCCACGTCAGCCCCTGCCACTAGCTCCACAGCATATGCCAGCCGTCACCCGATCACAGACGGCTGACATGGAGCGGAAGCAAAGGGAGACTGAGGAGGCCTATGAGGCCTGGATGTTGGATCAACTTCGCTGAAGTGAAGAAGTGGGCAGATGTGGCCACAGC